TGGAAAGTATATTTTGGTTAAGGGAAATTAGACCTAAACGTCTAGTGAAAATCGAACTTCCTTGATGTAAAGTTAAAAGCATGCAAAATAGCGAAAAACGTCTTGCCTCTGAAACCGAATAATGAAGATCCCACTTCTTACAGTACATAATGTACATACCGAAACCTTTATAAGCTATCCTTCTGGGAAAAGATGACTAAAAACCAACCAAAACAATTTTCCGTTTCTATGGTCAATATATATTTCCAAAATATCATTTTCTAAGGTTCTGGACTTTTACAACCTCAAAAACTTCTGTAGGCTAATCTTTCTTATGTAATATTTTTGGTCACCTGTCGTCTATTTCCTGTATGTAATCCACATCCTTTGGACGGGTCTGTTGAATGTAACTGTCCAAAATAGTATAACTTAAAGAACCTGAACCGAACTTCAAGGGAAAAGCATATGTCCATCGTTAACCCAATGCACAAATTTCTCAGAGAATTGCCGGTGGGTTTCCCTACTTTGTTTGGCATCAAAATTGATATCTTCAGTAGTCTGCTCCGTCTAAAGTAACAAGATTTGGAAAGGAAAAAGAATTACTCAGGCAAATTTACAGAGAAAACCTGAATAACATATAAAAAGCAGAAAATGACGAGGTACAATCAAGATTTTTTATTACTCTGAAGCTTCCAGATATTGTATTGGCTTCATTTTTTAAGGTAAAGGCGCTATCTTATAAGGCTGCTGCCATTAGATTTACCCTCAAATAGTCTAAGATCTGCATGAACTAACCTTCAAGCTTGCCCCAGAATCATAAGCTGAGAAGTTTGTTTCTGCTTTAAGTTCATTTGACACACTATCTGCTGACAGGCCCCGAGATGGAGAACTTATGATTGAAGATCTGCACAAACAGAATAAGATTTAGATTCAACAACAAAATATTCAAAAGGAACTAGCCCATTAAGTTCTTGTTTTCCTGAAATCATCAATCTGGCATGACTGCAAAGGTGGTGCTTCTAACCAGTAAAAAGTAAAAACATTTTCCCGGTTAGAGACATAAGGCACAGCAGAATTGACTTGACTAAATGATGATTGCTACTAAAGAGTTTTGTTTCCCAATGTAGTATTACATCAACTTGAATAGGTCAACATACAGAACAAGCACTAAAACAGACAAAATTGAACTGGGCCAAAAACAAAATGCAAGTATGACTATCTTTTCTGCACTGCCAACGAAAGAAACTAGAAAGAGCACCATCTTCCTGTTCTGCTTTTGCACCATTTTGTCATTAATAGCTGAAGCCGCTAAGTTATCAAGCCTGAATACCCAAAACACTTTTACAGGCCACTAAAAACACTGAGTTGCATGATTCCTGATGTTTGGGTCCTTGGTGTTGCAGTAATACCAGAAAGAGAACCGAACTTCTTGTTTTTGGGATAAGGAATAAGCAAGAGAACTAATAAGATTAAATTTAATCAGTATTTAAGGTATTGAATATATTCCCCCCCCCCCCCCCCCAAACCCTCAATACCCTCTGTTTTTTTCTTTTTCTTTTTGGTTTTGTTCCGGGACAAGTATTCCATCCCTTATTCTTCACCTTAAGCACTGGTTAAGACACCTATTTATGCATTGGTCAAGATATACGAAGTATACCTCTCATATATTTCTTCTTCACATGAATTTCCCGATGAAGAAAGCCAATCAACATCAAGAAAATTTGAGGTATCAAACAAATCTGCACACTCATGAAATTTAACGCTACCACTTCCGAGACACTGCTCTAACTGCATATCATGGAAACACTGTCCACCAGACATTGAGGGGGTGTACCTATCACAAGAAGAAAGCATGATGAGCCATATCAAGTGAAATAGAACAAACTAAAGCAGAAATTTCTTCCGAATAGCATCACCTCAACCCCAATAAAAGAAGAAAAACTTAAAAACATGATTGGCTAAGACCCCGGTTACAGATTCCGAAGTCTTTGAGCAAACAGAACTTTTCAAGCTGCAATATGGTGATACCTTAACTTCACATGCAGCCATGAGGTTAAGTGTTATAAGGTAAGTTCAGTAAGATATCATACATTCTCTGCACATATTGCCATAAGGTTTGTAGGAGTGATAAGGGTTGGTCAGTAATGTCAATCACAAACCCTATATAAGCACCTGGCTGCCATTAAAATATTTCATCAAGACACATATGCATTATCTTTGTTAGAATATACATGCCACAATACAAGGAGCATTCAAAATCATGCAAACTTCCAATGCATTGGTTCATGGAAGCATGAAGGAACCACGAGGGAGATGTTTTTGTACCATAAGTAGCAGTTAGCAGCAATCGATAAGAAATATCCGAGGACATCATGAATCACCCGAGTATGTTACTGCTCCAAATGAATTTATGAAGCATAGAAATCTAAACCGAGCTACCTGGTAAACGAAATATCAGTGTCACATGTAGATATTTCTGGTGTGGACTCTGAAATACCCTTACAACCACCTTTGGCACAGACAGTCAAAGGCTGGTGAGTGTCTTCAGTCTGATCTATGTCGGTGTCTTTACCATAAGAGCTGCTTCCACAGCTTATGTTTCCTTCTGATAGCGACCTTTTAATAAATGACCTGCGTATTAACAAACTGCTTTGCTAACAGCTTTGATACAATTGTCTGGCAAACAGCAAAAGTATCTTCCTGTTCTGGATACTTGATCAGAACAACAGATTAACTTGAAATACTAATCAGATTTAGGAGGTACATTCTCCTCTTTTTAAATTTGCGGTGGGCACGTAAAGCAGAATCATCTTTAACCTTCATATCAGTGAGATGGTTACAACGCAGGCTGACAGTGAAGATGGGCATAAAAACAGTGAAATCTCATGGATCAGTATGATCTTATAAAACCCAAATATTGGTTTTACAATGTTTAAACCTTTAGTAAAAGCAATTTGGAAGAGAGAAACAAGCCACGGCCTGGAACAGCGTGACAACAGCAAGATTGTGCTATCCGCCGTGACACCGGCCATGGCACAACCAACTGCAGCGCTCTCCGCCTGGAATTGGCAGAGCTTCTCAAACATGGGCACCTGACACACTTGCTGTCAGATAAATTTAAGCATAGGTTCTCCCGTCCCAAATTTTGAATTAACTTCAGGAATTTACCACATGTTGCACAAACCAAAAGGCCATTTTAGAGCCAACCTATAAGCTTCTATACACATCTACTTCTCTGATCTGACCCCCCAAAAAAGGCCAACTAATGGCCCCACAATACGTTCTCCTATTTAATAAAAATATACATCTTCTTTTCATCTTTGTAGTCGGGAAGTCAACCTCATTGAACAGAGTATAATGCTGTGTCATAAATTACCGAGAGATAAACAGTTCAATAACAATTTTTAATTATTCAGTCGTCAGAAAATGAAAAAATTATGTATTACAAATAGAACCTATATACAGGAAGCAAGTAGAGAATGCACTCATAGAAAAGGATCATGCATACCTAGAACTTTCAGCGGTTAGACTTGATCCGTGCATCCTAACATCATAGTGCTGTTCTGGATTCAGTTCCCACAGAGATGGCTTTCCGTCTTGTGGCTGGAAATGGCCCAAGAACCTGGAAATGGCACCACATTACTCATAATATTTTCAAAATTGCCCATATCTTTTTGGAATAACAGCCTCATGGAACTTATTGCGATAGAAAGTATTCACATACACGTTAATGGAATCTTGTTTCTCAGGGTCCATGTAGGCATTGCTGTAGTAGCGCTGAAGCGATCGGAAGAACTCTTGAGACCTCGTTGTTGCTTTCCATTGGCCTCGTATTTCTGAAAAAATCTGTTTGGGTTCCATATTCATCACTACGTTAGATGGTAATAGTGATATTTTGATAAATGAAGAAGAATCTACGCTTCAGTAGTGAAACAGTATGCAAAATGTTTAGTCACAAGCAAAAAACTGGAGCATCAAAAACTGAACTGTGAACCACTAGCCCTCTGGGATTTCTCAGTTATCAAAAAAATATTGGTCCACAATCGCATCCACTAAAATGAAGATATCTTATAAGAAGTGCATCATGAACTTAAATGGAGTGAAATATCTGCTTCCACGGAACCAACTCATTACTATAGTTCCGTCAGAAGACTGCACAAGACAATTGCAGAATTTCTCGTAAATAGCAAAGATAGATTACCTTGTTATGTGCAGCAGAGCCACCATATTGTAGTGCAAGAGTGTCTCCCATTTCTTCGTAGATCCTCATTAGGTCATGTGCTATAGGAGAATGCGAATCAATGTTCTCCACATCTATAAAGCCTAAGGCATGCAGCTGATGGGTCAGTGCGACCAGCCCATACGCATACTGGCCAACATTTGTGCGATCCAAACAGTCTATACAATTCGTTCTTAAGACTCCCTTTTGGACTGTTGAAAGTTTGACATAGTAAGCTCCACGCAGATCATTACTCCCATTGTCCACTTCAACATCCATTTCATAGAGGTCCTTCTCAACATGGTCTCCACTACTGTCGCAGCTGCATCAAATAAGATCAACATGAAAAAGGGAAAGAAAAAAGAGGAGATTTGATGCTCTTGAGAGTGAAGCAAATACGAAGTGGACATAACCCAGGTAAAAAGTTATTTTTAGCAGAAACTTTTTTCAACTCTCTCTCTCTCTCTCTCTCTCTCTCTCTCTCTCTCTCTCTCTCTCTCTCTCTCTCTCTCTCTCTTTCAGAGAGAGAGTGTGTGTATCTTGCATGAATTGATCCAATGCAGCAAAACTATATGCACCAGACTGTAGGTTATATTTAACTAATGCCTCAACTTATGTCCCAACCAACACATGTTGAACGCGAAGATACAAGAAAATCTGAATGAACATCTAAGTTCTGCAGCACAAGCAGTTTTGCAAGGAGTTCCTAAGTAATATGATATTTGAGAACAATTAACTCTCACGAAGTGATAAACTAAACTCTTTAAGAGGATAATTTGATTGGCAAACTCACCCGATGGATGACAGCTTTAGCAATTCCCCACTTCTTGATGTAGGGATTAGCTGACAATGGAAAAGGCCTGTTAACTCCAAAGCATTAACGGCCACCTCACCTAGACGTATCAAGGCCTTTGTAGCTTTGCTGTAAGAGAGATGCCAAATTGTCATGAAACCATAGATCAGTACGACAGATAAATAAAATAAGAACAACAATTACACAGGAAACATCAAAGATAGAGGCAGCAACAGCATACATTCTTGGGTGTTTGTTTAGATCCCAGTGAAGAAACCTCAACCGGTTGTCCTCAGGAAGATCTTTATTTATGAAGTCAATAGCATTAGCGAATTCTGCACGAAGAATCGTTTCTCTGGGCCTCTTCTCACGAGTCTGTTTAACATAAAAAAAATAACAAATTAAGCAAGGGAGAGAGTCTGAGAAGGTCAGAGTACCGCTTCGTAATGAAAAAGTAAGAATAATGGATTGAATACTGAAGCCTGCAAAAAATTACCTTAATTAAATTTAATATAATAACTGGATTTCCATATCTTTGAACAAGATCTTCAAAGTGAAGTTTGGTGGCTTCAAACTTGAGGTCCTTCCTAGACACTAAAGGGTAAGAGAGTTAACAAAAATTTGAGCAAATGGATACTCGAAAAAATCTCAAGTGTTTGGACATACATATGATGTCAGGTTTTATATTCAAACGTGACGTTTCCTGAGACCAGAAAAGAGGTATTGAACCACGGTTCTGTACAACAGCGCTTACTCCAACAGGGGACCCTTCACGTACATTTTCAAACACAATCTGTTCTGTCTCGACGTCATTTGCTACATGACCCTTCTCATTTACTCCTCTTTTTAAATATCTGTGTGAAATAAAAGGAATTAAAACTCCACAACAAAAATTGTTAAGCACTTACAATGTTGGGGTCACATTTTAACAACAAAAATGGTTAAGCACTTACTGATGTTGAAGTCACATAATATATAATGCCTATCACATTATGCATTCACATGAAAAGTAATTAAAAACATTTAAGAGGTGCGAGAGCTTTCTTCATAATTTGGTGTGTACCTTGTTCCAGGCCACTTGCCAGGACTTATGATAGCTAACAAATTTAGCACAATTAGAAGGAAAAGGATGATATATGTTTCAATTGTACAAACCTGGTACCAGCATAATGACGAGAACGTCTAGCAATTAGGGTTAAGATGAAGTCCTGTGCAGAAATAGTAAGTGTAACCTGTTCCACAAAACACGAGAAAATGATAAACTGTTGAAAGTACGGTTCCATTTATGGTGCCATTTAATAGGTAAAGCAAACATAAAATGTCACAAAGATATATTCTGAAATAAAATCATAAGCTATTTACATACAATTGAGTACTCCAACTAAAACAACAAACATATAGCAATATGGTATATCATATCAAAATAGCATCTTGCCCAGCTATGTTAGCTAGGATTTAGATTTCTGCTCAGTTACGCGTATAAATTTAGAAGAACAATTTCAAACAGATAATACCTGTTTAAAGAACCCATAGACTAACGCAACAGTCCAGAGAGTATTTTGGAGCTGATTGTGGATTCTGCGAGTTAAGAATTCATTCCATACAAACATTGTCTCATAAAGGGTGAGTCCTGTCTCTGAGTTGCTCAGATTCTTTTGAAAACTAATCATAATAGGATAGGAGTAGCTGAAAAAGAAGTCCTTTGTGAGGTCCACCATGTGCAGGAGCTTTTGATATCTGTTTCCGGAAAAGAAGAAAAGAAACAAAAAGAGGAACCAAAAGAAAAAAGTGAGTTAACATAAATTTGATGCAGCAACTAAATAGAGGGGTAGGGGAAAAAGTTTTGAAATAAGCAATATGAAATAAAAATTTCAATATGTGTGCCTCTGGAATCCTGAAGATACCTTGTCTCATTCAACATGTAAAAATTTGCCCCTGTAGTTTTGTAGGAAAAAAACTGGCAATGGGCTCTATGAATGACTTAGCTATAAAATGCTCAACTATAGAATTTCTCAGTATACTCTTTCTGCGAGCATCTGAATGACTCGGTCAACATGAAATCCGTTGGGCAGTGAATGCGTTACAAGGTGTATTGCTAAAATAGTATAGCAATTAACTCAATAACATAGGACTTCTTACAGAATGCAAAGTTCAATAGTCACCAAACAGAAGAATATTAAAAATAAAAAAAACATCGATAACAGTTATATAAAGATACAAAGAAATCAGAAGTGTCTTTGTTCCATCATAATGCCTTCCTAAAAATACTACGGACATTTTACATTTACATGCAGAATTGACTAAAGACCTGTTCTCATCCTTAGAATAAGCCATATTGGAAAGCACAGTAGAGTGCGGAATTGGGAACATCTCGCTCTTAGTGATAGCATAAACAGCATGACCACATATCTTTCCAATCTTCCTTCTTTCCGTGATAACCAGGAAGTAATAAGGTCCCAAAAACTTTATAAAACCTAGAAGAGGAAAAGAAACATCAGTTGTGTCAAACATCATCACACATCTAATAAAAGGGTGACATTTCGAAAGTATAATATACCAATAATTCCGTAGCAGCGAGAAACGAATTTAAGCCCTCCAGTAGACGCGTTTCCTTCATGTATTCTTTTTAGGAGGTCTAAGCATTCAATTTCTGAATATGACGTAGGATCTTCATGAATGATTAGTTCCGAAGGTTCTAATCTGTCAATCTTTAATACTTTCCAAAAAGTTCTGGTCTTATCCCATCCAACCATGTAGAAGTTCTGTCCCATATAAAAGTAAGTTAAATATTCCTCTAAACACCAATTAAGGTAACGTCATAATCTTCACACAGATCGAGTAATAGATATAACGACAAAAGTAATTAATGACTTAAAAACTGCACAAAATGACACATTTAGGCAGGTTCAGCAAGTTCAGCACAAGAGAGAGATACAACCTACCAAAACGGGAAAAATAACTAAGGGCCAGATTGTTTCGAAGCTATAGTCCTAGATTCTCGGAGAGCAGATACACTGAATACTAGACGGGTAAACAGCGCGCGAGTCGGTACCTAAATCCGTACTCCATAGTATTCATTACTCATTATCGATGCATTCATTAACATAGCAACAAGAAAATTAATGCACCTAGGAAACTGGACAAGAACAGGAGCTCGAACACAACTAAGGGCACACCAATAAAACCACAGAGTTGATCAAAACAGTGAAATTAATTTATCTCTTGAGATCAAAAAGTTAATGACCATATTGTGATCTGAAATGAAAGAGGTGTACAAACCATGTGAAGAGTACAAGTCAGCATTTTGAGAAAATATTTGTTCTCTCCGTCCCAATTTGTTTGGCATGTTTTGGCAAAGTCATTAGACAAATTAGTAGGGCAAAATCAGACTAGATCAGTTTAAGTTAAATTAAGATATTCAAACGCAATCTCGGAGATTGTTTTGAAGCTGTAGCCCTAGAATCTAGGGGAGCAGATACGCTGAACGGTAGACGGGTAAAAAGCACATGAATTAGTACCTAATCCATACTCCATAGCATTTATTACTCGTTATTGATACATCCGTTAACACATAAACGAGGAAAAAAAAAAGGGGGGGGGGGGAGGGGGGGGGAGCTTGTAGAACTCATAATCACCTAGCAAGCTGGATAGCTCGAACAAAGTTAAGGGCACACCAATAAAACCACAGAGTTGATCCAAACACTGAATCAATATATCTCCTGAGATCAAAAAATTAATGACTATAAATACGCTCAAACCATAAAATTCCTTTAATCTAAAACTACATTTGACAAAACTATTACTCTCTCCGTCCCAGTTTATTTGGCATTTTCGCCAAAGTCAACATACAAACTTTCTGACTGGATCAGTTCAGATTAACATTTAGATATTCAAACACAAAACAGAGAACATTCTTAGTTGCGATTCTTCTAGATATAAAAAAACTGCGAAAAAAGTGAATTTTAAACTGTTAGACAAAGTTCACCAAATTAGAATGTTTAGTCTTTTAAGTAGAAGAGATGACAAAATGACAGCAAATCGTCGAACATATACCGAGCGAGTCTCATAAAGCCGGAACTTTTGCAGATAAAAGCCTCTGCTGTTTTCATGTAAATTGATTAGACGCCGTTGCTTGTCATCTGTCCCCATGCTTCGCAGCTGTTGCAAACATAACAGAATTCTACTTTTATTCCACATAAACTTTAGAATCATAATCACAATTCACAAGCAAAAACAAAACAAAACAAAACAAAAATTTGAAATTAAGACTGATAAATCAAAAACAGAAAAGAGCATAAGGAGAAAGAGATCAACCAAGTAAAAGATTGAATTCTTGCCGACGGTGGAGGAGAGTGGTGAATGGCGGGGTTTACAGATCGGACAAGGAACAGCTCCGGCGACTATGTCCACATAATAAAATGGGTATATATATATTTAGTTGGAAAAAAGAGTGTTCAATTTTTTGTACAGCTAAGCGTAAAAAGGAACTTTTCAAAATTGAGCCGTATAATAATTCAATCATCATCATGCTGTCGTTAATTTTCCTGCTTCTGAATTTTACTGTTTTTACCTGAGTACCTCAACATTTACGTTTGTGGGTGTTTGGTCTTTATTTTTAGTAAAAACAAATTTTTTAAAAAAAATCTTTCACATGTTAATAAAGTTTAGTTTTAAAAATAATTGTGTTTTAATTAGACATTTTAATTCAAACTAAAAAGTAAATTTACAAATCACCATCTTGCAAAATGATGCTCATTTTCTCGTAATTGTATATAATACGTAATTATTTATTTTATCAAGTGTCATCAAACTAGATATACAAGATCATAAATAAATTGCGAGCCAGAACAATTTAAGAAGTGAGTGATCCTTTTAATGATCTGCCGGTGAACTTCTTCTTCCAATTGAGTGCTCTCATAGCCGTGTAAGAAAGTTCGAAATCACAGGGCTCATCAACTAGATTTTATGCGAGAACTGTATATTTAATTATGCATTATAACTGTTTGCCAGATTAGCATGATGTACACAATCTAGAATTGGATTACACCAATATATTCGAAAAAAGAGATTCCATCAATATGAAGGAAAAGGGAAACGTTTGCCATGTGTTTAGTAATAATCATAATTATCTTTTAACCAAGTGTTACTAAAATAGATATACGAAATCACAAGTGAGTGAATTACAAGTCGGATCAATTTGCGAGCGGTTAGTGCCTCTAGTATTATGGTGACAAACTTCTTCTTCTAATTACGTGCTCTCATAACTTTTGGAGCGGCTCGCCAACAACATATTCATGATGCGAAATTGACTAGTGGTTTGTGTCGCAAAATTAATTAATAGAAAAAACAATTATTTAGTTATGGATTATAACTGAATATGCTAGATTAAAATGCAGTACACTATTGTAGCATCGGATTGCATCAATTTAATCTGGAAAAAAAAGATCAGCTCAATACAACGAAAAAGGGAAATAGGACAAGGTTGACAGGTTGTACATCAATCTACATTTGGAAAAATTGAATATGATCTAAGAAATTTGAGAAAATATTATTGTACTGCAAAAAAGGCAATCCGTATTGAGATCAGCTTGGGACTGAGAAAATCAAGCTCATGCAAGACCTTCAATAGAGGTTCTGGAGACTTTTTGAGAAAACAGAGATAGAGAGAGAAAGAAAGAGTAAAAGATGGAACATGAAAATGATATTCTATTTTCTCATTATTGCTGTAAAATGTAAAATGTGTATATATGTACATGTACACGTATATATGACAGCTAAGACAACTACTAACTACTGTGTATGACTGACTGTGTAACTAACTACTAACTATTAGTTGTACAGTTGTGCAATACAATACCAATATACAATACCAATACAAGTATATGTAATACAATAATTTAAGGCAATCCTTGCTTGTTGAGTGTAGCCTTTTACTACTAGTCTAGCGTTAAATCTTTCAATACTTCCATCTGCCTTATGCTTAATCTGGAAACCCCACTTACAACCTATGGCCTGCTTTTCGGGAGGTAGGGGAACTAAATCCCATGTATGATTGGCATGAAGGGCTTCAAATTCTTATGGCATGGCGGCCTGCCATGCAGGACTAAGAGCTGCCTCTTCATATGAAGATGGCTCACTATCATGACAACACTAGTCACTAGGTGCTGACTTTCAGAACATAGAGTATCAGTGTTGATATGATTGTGATTTGAGAATAATGCATTCAAAGAAGGTGAGCGTTGAGAAGTGGTAGGTTGGTGTTAGTTTGTATGGGTCCATCAAATCGTAGAGTACCTGTTCCTCTACAAGGTTCTACTGAGAGTACTTAATAAAACACTATGTAAATGAGGCGGAGGATTTTTACGTGAAAAAATCCCACACAAGGGGATCAAAAAACCACGACCTACACTTGTAGGATTTTAACTTCACTAATTGTAATCTACCTATTATAAGCCACTTTATTATACTTCCTATTGGGATTTACTCAACTAACTTGTGGTACCTTTACCACAAGTCACTTTGTCACTATCCTAGTTACAAAGGCTTTTTCTAACTTGTGATGCTATCACCACAAGCCACTTTGTAACTCTACGATAACAAAGACTTTTCCTTATGATTAAATATAGTCACAACATAAACTCGAGGAGTTTACGGATTTACAAGAGGATTCCTAATCAAAGTGCTTCTAGGTAAGCAGTTTAGGAGATACAGTAAGTACAATAACAAGGTTACAACTCAACTAGGACAACAACAATCTATCTTTTAGGAATTGGTCCGTAGTAGTGTTTAACCTTGTTCTTCAAGCTTGTGAGGATTGATTTTTCTATTTTTTGCAAGAGACTTGAATGAGAAACAGAAGTCTTCCAGTCATGTTTTATATAAAGCTCATTGTGGGTACATCTTGATCACATCACTTGAAGTGATGTGAGTACTTTATTTGGTTAGAGAATGAGCGGCGGACAGT